CTTCTTTTTTTTGTCTTTTTCGCGTCGTGCGCTGCTTGCTCGCTGCGTCCGCTATGGGTGGAGTGCGGAGTGCAGGCGGGTACAGTATTTCTTGGGTCGCTGGGCCGCGCTGCTGCCGCCGCTGCCGCTGCCCGGTGACAATCAGGCCGATAGCAGGCGCAGTAGGCCGTGGTGCTGCAGCAGCGGGCCGCGGACCGTTTGGTCGCTCTGTCTCTGTCGCACCCCTGAGGAACGCCGCAAGGGTGCGACAGAGACAGAGCGACGAGGCGATCCTCCGGAATGGCTGGGCAGGCCGCGCCGCGCCGCGCTGCCCGGTGGCGTGCTTGTAATTTGTTATAATCCCGGCCTGATCTTCGGCACGTGTGCGGCGCGCCACTGGAAGGGTGGCAGTGGCGTAGCAGTGGCGTGGCAGTGGCCTGGCAGCCTGTAATGGGAGACGCGCCCAATATTACCCTGGCGGCGGCGGCGTGACCCACATACTTTTCGGCCCGGCGGTGGCGGTACACTGGCGGTACCGGCGGTAGCCTCAGGTACTCGCCGGGCGGGGCGGCGGGGTGCGCGCACCTGTCTTTGTTTGGTGTCGCCTTCCAGGTGCAATTTTGCTGCGGCTGCCGGGCTGCGCCGAGTTCCGTGGCCGCGCCGCCGCACCGCGCTCCAGGTGCTTTACGTGGCGGGGCGCGGGGCGTGGGTGAGAACGCTGCGGTGCCCGAGGTATCACGAGGTAGCCGCAGTTAGGATGCGCAGGCAGAGTTCAGGCAGCAGCAGTTCAGGATCCAGGCACATTGCACGATCTCCATAGCGCGGCGATGACGGCGGCCGGCGGGGCCGCTGGGGCTGCCGCTGGGGCTCCTCGTCTCGGGGCAATAATGAAACCAATTCCTACCACATCCGGTGACTCAATTCAAATCTAATTTGTGCACCCATTTTATTTTATTATCGTCTAGTTCCTCGCGGCTGGCTGGCTGGCCTGGCGGGCCGAGCGTGGCGGCATCGGCGGCGTGGCTGTGTGCTTCTGCCGGGCTTCCTTGACCTCTGCGGCGAGGCGCGGCGTTGTTCGCGCCGCCGAGTGCCGCCGGTGCCGCCACTGTAGTGCCGCCACCATTCAGTCTCGCAGTCTCGCTCCCTCATTCATCCAAGCGCGTGGCTCGCTGCTGCGGGCCTGCGGGCCGCCAGGCCGCCAGCACGGTCTTCTTCGCCTTGCCGCCGCCTTGCACTGCGGTGCGCGGTGCGCGGTGACGGCTGTCCATCGGTGACACCTCTGCCTCCCCCCGCCGCGCCCCGCCCCCTCCTGCTTCGCGGTCGCTTCGCGGGGCTTCATCCCATATCCAATTAATTTGCCGCGCCTTTTTTTAGGCCTCTCTTTTAACGGCTCCCACATGTGGTACTCGCGGCCTCTCGCGCTTCTCTCTCTCTCTCTCTCTCTCTCTCTCTCTCTCTCTCTCTCTCTCTCTCTCTCTCTCTCTCTCTCTCTCTCTCTCTCTCTCTCCACCACCACCACACACACACACACACACACACACACACACAGATAACACGCGGGCGCGCTGTGTGGCCACCCAGTGTTGTTTCTGAAGGAGATACAGGGAGGGAGGGAGATTCAGGAAGTGTTGTAGAATGCAAGTCAGGTGAGTGGGAGGGGGAGGGGAGGGGGAATGATGTTGGAACGCGTTCTCACCCCGTCGCCACCTCCGCCACCCCCGCGACGCACGCGGGGCGATGCATTACAAAAAAAGAGGTGGCGTTGCATTGTCCGGCCGCTCACGTAGCGTTCTCGGTACCGAGATAGATCAATGCACACAGTGTCCCTTCCGCAACGTGCACGTTATCGTTTTGAAAAATAGACGGGTTTTTTTTTCCTGCCCTCTCTCCTCTGTCTCCCTCCCTCTCTCTCCCACCGCCGCGACGCGCCGCGAGGCCCGGCCGTTGCAGCAGGCTGTCAATTCACCTTCCATGAAAAATAATTATCGTTGGGGGCAGATGCTGGCCGATCGACGTGCTTTTTTGTTCCTTGTGACTTTTTTTCCTCCGCGCCTCTCTCCGTTCCTCGTATTGACGTCCGACCGACTCCTCTGCATATTGTTTTTCTTTCTTGGTTCGGTCGGGTTGCTGATGAGTCGGGATGCTCGGCGGCCTCGGCGGCCTCGGCGGTGCGGGGACGCTTGGAGTGGACGGGCACGGCGGCGCGGCGGCACCGTCCCCGGGACAATGCCCGGCCAGGCTCAAGTGCACCCCTTTCTTTAACCCCCGCCGGCCAGCCCCGCCAGGCCCGCCAGGCCTATCTCTTGCAGCATCGCCAATTCGACCACGCAGCAGACTGATTCCGAGAGCCGTTTCAACCGCTCTGTCCCTCTCGCACCCGAATGGGACGCTCCACGTGTGCGAGAGAGACAGAGCGAGGCCCTGCTCGCCTCGCCCTTTCCCCGCTTGCCCCTTTCTCTCTGCCTTTTGCCGGTTTTCTTGGCCGATTTTCGGCCCCTCGTCCGGAGCCGACCCAAACCTCGGCAGATTGGAGGGAAAAAAAATTGAAAGAAAAGTATTTTGACTGGTGGGTTTCAGCGCTCGTTTCTCGTTTCCGGAGTCACAACAACAGGCAGAGACCCCCGAAATCGCTTTTGTCACCGTGGAAAGGGACATGTATAACGTGTCCACTTTTTTTTTTTCCATCGGCGATGCGGAAGGGTTGAATCACATCGAATAGAGCACATCTCCTTTTTTTCTTCTCCAAATGTATCATGAATGAGTTTAGACTTGTTTCCGCGAGCAAGCAAAAAGGGGGAGCTTAAAAAAAAAAGTAAGACGCAATTATTGAAAACGATCGAGAAAGGGCGGGAAAAGGGGTGTGTTATGAAACATGCGCCCGGCGCCCCGCCCCGCCCCGCCCCGCGGTGCTCGCCGGGCGTTAATGAGAAGATTAACGGCTACTCCGCCGCGGAGGCGCACCTGATGTCCGCGGCCCGACGCGCCGCACGAACCAAGGCACGGCGCCACGCCGCCACGGCGACAAGAAAAATAGACCGGGAATCCCCGAACGGCCCGAAGGAAGGCCCGGAAGGGGTGCCCGAGAAATTGAGAAATATTCCCGGCCGGCCATAAATATTGTAATGAGCGGCGCGGACGGGACGCGCTGATGCACCCGAAAACGCGACCCGTTTTTCCGCCTCGCCCCGTCTTTATTTCGGCCCCGGATGATTGCTTTAACGATTTGAGATTCGCTAGTCGAGGAGGCGGGGGGCGATGGCTCATCTCTTTGCATTCCACTGCCGGCCCGGCCCGGCCCGCCGGCCCAACACACTGTATTAGAATTGTGAAAACATTTCTTTGCCTCTCCTTCAACTTTAATTCCAGCGATTTGGAGCCGCGACGCCCCCGCAGCCCCTCCACTGTGGGAGCCCCATCATGACCATTTCGCCAGAGGTCGCCCCTCTGCTTCGCGCTCTTCAACACCCTCCTCACATTTTTCCCAACCACTCAACATTAAATACTTTCGGAATAAAAGTAAAAAAAGAAAGAGAGAGAGAGAGAGGGAAAACTCCTGGATCTTCTGCTTTGAAAAGCTCCTAAGCACCGCGCGGCCCGCGCCACCCTCACTTTGACCCTCTCCCTTCGCCTCCTCTCTCTCTCTCTCTCTCTCTCTCTCTCTCTCTCTCTCTCTCTCTCTCTCTCTCTCTCTCTCTCTCTCTCTCTCTCTCTCTCTCCCTCTCTCTCTCTCTCTCTCTCTCCTCTCTCTCTCTCGCTCTCGCTCTCTCGCTCTCGCCGGCGTCACGCCCCTTCGGAATAAAAGCTGAGAAGCGGCAATCGCTCGAAATGAGTTTTTTTTTCTCGCTCGGCCCCACCGCTCGCGTGCTTGTCGCGAAAAAGTAACGTTTGGGGCTGTAATTGCCGCTCCGCCACGCCACGCCGCGCTGCGGCGATGAAAGATCGATTTGATAGCAAAAGTGCGGAACACATCAATCAGATCGCACGATAAACCCTTCCGCGTTCTTTTCCTTTTTTTATCCTCCTCGCTGAACGGTCTGCATGAGTTAATGCTGTTTCGTGAAATTAGTTTGGCATGTAGTTTTGTAGCTTTGACGCTCACCAACTCTTTTTTTTTCTCTCATACATTTTTGTTCTACTTCTTTTTATTTCACTTGTAATTTTGGTCTACCTGATTGGGTCTGGCTCCCTTCTTCATTCCAGCCCGACCTAGATTCACCCCTCCCTCCCGTCGCTCTGTCTCTCTCGCACGCAGGGGGCGTGCCGCATGGGTGCGAGAGAGACGGAGCAGCGAAGCGCTGCACGGAGTCAACCCACCGCCGCTCCCCTACCCCTTTCCGCGGCGCGGGCGGAAAAAGGCGCAGATGTTGAGTGAAGCGCGATCAGCTGACGACAGGGCGCGGGTTCGACGCCCGCCACCGCGGCGCCCGTTTTTCGCTTTTTCGTTTTCGGCCTTTTCCCGCGCGGTCACCCCGTCAATCAGCCGGTCCGTGATTGGTCACGAGGCGCGGGGCTTAGCGGAGTCCGCCTTAAGCCGCTTCCATAAATCTGGCCGTCCTAATCTAGTTAAAACAATATAACGGCGGCGCCGTGCGTTCGGTGCGCTGTAAATCGCCCGGGCCGGCCGTGCCCTGGCCATGCCGCGGCCCGGGATGCACGCCGCGGCCTCCTTAGACCCGAGGAGGCCGCGATTTCCTAAGTTCGGCCCGAGTTGTTGTGGCCTCGCGAGTCGTTAAACATGACTCGAGCCGAGCGCTTGACCCCGCCAATGGATTCCTCGTTCGGAGAGCAATCCATTGGTGGGGTCACACGTTCGGTTCGAGTCCTGTTTAGTGACTCTGGAGCTCGAAGCGCGTTCGGGACTTTGGCCGCCTCCGTCGGTCTCCTGGCCCACTGTGCTGGGTTTCCCTGTCCCCGGGGAGGGCCTGACCTTTGACCCCGTTGCAAGCGAGGCAAGCAAGGCGTCGGCGAGAACCCCAGAATGAGTGCCCGCTCCTCTGTTCCATGTGGCGTCCCACCAACTGGTCTCTCCGTGGCTCGCCCAGATCTTCATGCACAAGTCCGCCATGCAGCTGGCGGGCCGCGACCTGGGCCGCGGCGACATCAAGCCGCACCAGTGCCAGCAGTGCCTCAAGTCCTTCTCGTCCAACCACCAGCTGGTGCAGCACATCCGCGTGCACACCGGCGAGAAGCCCTACAAGTGCTCGTACTGCGAGCGCCGCTTCAAGCAGCTCTCCCACGTGCAGCAGCACACGCGCCTGCACACCGGTGAGTACACTGCCGCGGCGCTGGCGCGCTGGCGGGGCGGACGTCGCGGACCCCGTCTCGGTGGCGGGGCTGTGGCGGTCCTACACCCGCAGCGCGCGGCGCGCCCCGGTGGACGAATGCCAGTGTCTGTTATTGTTAGCCGTTCCTGGAGGCTTCCGGTTCCGGCTTCCGGCTCGGACGCGCGGCTGAGAACCGGACCGGCTCGGCTCGGCTCGGCGCCAGGACGTGGACCAGCGCGGCGAGGACGGCGACGACGACGGCCTGGAGTCCTGGAGGCGCCGGAGGCGAGGGTGGCAGCCTTCGCGAGAGTGTGTCCTTGTAACGCCGGCACCCGCACGGCCAAGCAGCTCGCAGTGTGGTGTTCCTTTTTGTGCTGGTTCTTGTTGGGAGGGGCGCGTCGCCGCGTTGAGGTAGGGGGCGAGGTACCGCTCAGGCTCGTCGCGCGGTGCGCGCGGTGCGAGACGCAAGCAGTGGTCCTCCCGGCCCGCACGCCCTCTCTAAACGCTTTTGGTTGTTTTTGTTTTGTTGTGGTGCTGCCCGCCGCCTGTCCGGCCTGACACCGCCTTCGCCCTGCAGGTGAACCCGCCAACAGGTGCGAGCAGAGGCAGCAGAAGCTGCAGTCTCAGGGTGAGTGCCGGCGTGCCGGCCTGCCTAGGCGCGTCGGCGTGCCGCGTGCCGCCGAGCCGCCCCGGAGGCCGGCCTGGCCCACTGGCCGCGGCGGCGCCCCGGTTAGTGGGGTGGACGTCGAGGACGTCGTGGGCGCGACCACGCCGTCGACGCCCCCCTCGCCGCCCAACCTCACACCGGGGAGCTGGCAAGGCCGGCCCCCCGGGGTCCAGGAAGTAGGAGGAGGACCACTGTCTCGCGGGGCGGGAGTGCGAGAGAGAAAGAGCTAGATACCACGTCTAGGCGGTCGGTTCCATCGGTTCCGCACCCTATTTTGCGCCTTTCTAGTTCCTGCCGGTCCATTCTTTCAGCCCGGCGTACAGTGTACCGAAGGGCTGACGGGAAGGCCTCGCCAAACTTCACCAAATCCCGACATAATGACGGCCGGCGCGGCGGACGGGTAGACGGGGAGGGGGAGGGGGAGAAAAAGAATGATCGAAAGTCGAGTGGAGTGAGCTATTGGCTGTCCAGGTTGCAAGTCGCGTGACTCGACGCCCTTTAAACGGCGAAGCGAAGCGTTGCCGCGGTCGCTCCGCTTTCTTTTCTTTTTTTCATTTTTTCGCGGAAGTGCGGCAGTATCAGGGAATCGGTCGCGACGTAATGAAGCATTCTTTTGCAGTGCGGGGGCGGCCAGGGCAGTGTGGCCGTGGCGTGGCCGACGCCCCTCGTCCGCGAAGCGGAAAAAAGATTGTGTGCACGGCCGGGGTGTGGACTATGGACAAAACGTATTAAGGACGAACGGCGATTTTGTAATCACGACCTTGAAAGCACGCGTGGGTGGGGGGCGGCCCGGTCCGCGGCCGCCCGCTGCGTTCCGTTTAGCGGCTACTTTTTAATATCGAGGAATACGGAATTAAATTGAATGGAGAGACGTTAGAGGCGGCGCAACAAGCCGAGATTGGGGAAGGGAAGAAAAGTGAAAAATCGCGCGTCGAAAAATGTGGGGCGCGCTGTGTGACGGGCGGACGGATTCAAGGGCCGATTGAGTCCGCCTGACCCAATTCCCCAAATTCGGCCGGGAAATCAATGTCCCGGACCGAGTCAAATTATTGGGTGGCCTGCTGGGCGAGTCCGAAGAGTCGTCGTAACGTCGCTCTGTCTCTCTCGCGGCGCTGCGAACCGCCCCATGAGTGCGACAGAGACAAAGCGACGCCGAAACGACTCTTGGGAATCGGTCTTCTAGGGAGCGTGTGCCAACCCGGCCCAGCCCAGCCCCAAATCGCCTCGCCATCGCGGCGACTTCGCCCGGCCGTCGTCACGGACTCGCGCAGCACTGCGGCGACGTACTTGGCCCGAATAAACAATAAAAATAATCGACTTTGGCTTTCTTTCCCCGCTTTCGTCTCATGGCGCTCCTCTTTATTGGCCCATCCCATTCCCTTCGGCCTGCAGTTGGCTGCCGTTGGCTGCCGTCGCCGCAAGACGGGGACAGGCCCGAACCGCCCCGCCGCAGTGTCTCCCAGCCACTACTTGGAGGAGGCGGAGGTACACTACGTTATTGGCCCCGTATATCAGTTTTATTATCAAGTCTGTTCGTCACGCTGTCCTCGCCCCCCCCCCTCTCCACTTTTCCCCCGGCATGGCGACGCGCCGCGACTCGGTAATCATAGGCCTTCAATTATTTTCATGACGGATCCCCATTTTTCGTGGTGGCCGAGGCCGGCTTCGGCTTCCGCGTCCACAGCGCGCGGTGCGGCGCGGTGCGGCGCGCCCCGGAGCACGAGAAGAATGCCATGTATATTTACACGCTGGCGGCGAGGGGCGTCTGATGGCAGTCATTTGGCGGCTATTATCGGCCGGCGATGCCGCCACGCCACGCCGCGCCGCGCCCTGCCCGCCGAGGCCCTGGCCGTGGACGTCGCGGCGCGGCGGCGCTCGCGTGCTGCGGTGTGTGGCGGCGCGGCGGGCTGGCGGCCACGGCGCGCTGCGGTGCGGTTCGGCTCGGCTCGGCTCGGCTCGGCTCGGCGCAGTCAGCCATTCGGCGTGGCCGGAAGGAAGGAAGTCTTCGCTTGGTTTTATTGTGGCCGGTCGGTCGGCCAGTCCCAGGGCCGCTGCTGCTGCTGCCGCCGCCCCGCGCGTCGCGCCCCGCCCCCACGGGGCCCCTTCTTTTTCTGGGAAAACAACGCCCTCGCGCCTACACTGTCACCAGCGGCGTGGTTGGCTTGTTTGGCCGGTCTCCCGACGGTGGCGCCGGCGCCGGCACGTTTTCACAGCCTGAGACGCCGGCGCGCCGCGCCCCCCGCGCTTATCCGTCACTGACACTTTTCCTGATTAATTCCTTGGGGGCTGTCGCCGCCTTGCCGCCTCCCCGCCGCCCCCGCCGCCCCCGCCGCGCGCGCGCTTTCCGATGACACGCAAGTGCATTCTCATTTTTGTGGCGGCGGGGCGACGACGGCGGTGGGACGCGGCCCAGGTGGCTCGCCGCTCCTCGGCGGGGAGGGGAGGGGGGAGGGGGTCACGGGGCATGGCGGGCAAATAAGCAATCGTGTCCAGCGGCGCTCATTGGGCGCGGCGGGCTGCCTTTAGGGCTGCCTGCCATCGACCGGCCGGGCGTGCCGTGGCGGTCAGCCACACGGCGAGCTCATCCTTCGTCCTCCGCGGTCTCAGCAGTGGTGTTGTCTCTCTCGCACACCGCAGGACGGCCCACGAGTGCGAGAGAGGCAGAGCACTGACGTAGGCGGTCGACGAGTGCGAGAGCGTGGTGGACACGGCGGCCAATTTTGTTCCGCGGACACTGAGGGATGCGGGCGAGGCGGGCGTGACGACGGGGCACTTGGTGACGCGGCGCAGGTTCGCCCGCCAGCCCTCCTAGTCCCTTAACGCGGCCGCCGCCCCCTCCAGTCATTTTTCTTTCCTTTTAGGAATTTTACGGCCGTCGTGTGCGGTGGCGGCTCCGTGGTGGCCGGCCCTGCGCGGCCCGGCCCGGGCGAAGGGGTTTATAGACACATTTTTAAGCGACGCGCGTAGCGGGGCGGGGCGGGGCGGGGCGGCGGTGATGGCGCCCCGTAAGTGTCGCAGGCGAGGGACGACGCGGGGCTTACGGGGTCATAATTCAGCAGACTCGTTGATGCGTGGAGGAGGTTGGAGGTTGGCGCGGCACGCCACTGCCAGGCCGTCGTCGGGGCGCTCGGCGGTTGCACGCCGACTCCCGGCGGCCTGACGCTGTCTCCGCCGAGCTACAAGCAGTTTGTCAGCGTGCCCAGCGTCCAGCGGGGACGCGCTGCCAGACTCCAGGGCCGCCACCGTAATGTCTTTCGGCGAGGGCGTCGCGACGGCTCGGCGACTCGTGTTCATAAAAAGGGAAAAAGGAATGATAAAAAGGGCGCTCCGCCGCCGCGTCCTTCGCGCCTTATTAAGCCCTTAGGGAATAACAAGTGTGACGACTTGCTCGCCTTTTCGCGCCTTTTCGCCGTCGCCCGTTTCGAAAGGCCTTTCGACTTGTTTTGGCGCGCTTTCTCGCTGCGACCTTAATCGCCGCCTGGCTATGCATCCCCTTCCCTCGCCGCGTATCTCCTTCATCTCGCCCTTGTCTGCGGCCTCTGCCTTGGCCTCCGCCGTGGCCTCTGCAGCGCTGCACCGCCCCGCGCCAGCATATTCGCGGTTCCAACTTTCCGACAGTTTAAAAATGCTACTGAAGCCAAAATTACGAGCGTCGAGGGAGGGCGAAAAAAAGGAGCGGAGTTAAGTGTGCGGACGGGGCGGGCGGAGCGGCCAAGAGGGAACTGGGGCGTGCGGGGCGGCCCCGCCCGGCCCGCCTCAAGGACATTTAGTACGGCAACATGAAGGAAGGGGTTGTTGCTCCGCGCAGCTCCGCGCCGCCTTGTTGTGCTCGCCCTGTTTTTCCTGTTTTCCCCTTTTTGTTATAATTATTTTTATTCGAGTTGGCTAGCGCTCGCCCCTTTGCCACCGCCGCGTCGGCTCGGCGCGCTGTGCGATGCTGTGCGATGCTGTGCGCGCACCCCTGCGGCGCGGCGCGGGGTTCGAATCCAGCCTGAACGGGGGTGTACTTTAAAAGCTAGTTTCTGGTTGAACACACACACTCGCACACGCGGAGGGCGGCCATGTCAACAGAATTGCATTGCCAGTGCCGGCGCGGCCAGCGCGGCACGCACGATAGTGCAACCCCGCGACCCCCGCCCCGCCACCCTCCAACTATTTCCTCATATTATATACAGCAGCATGCAATTTAGCGCCAAAGTCCCGGTGGCGGTGAAGGGCGAGGGCGAGGCCTAGCGCGGCGAGTGGCAGCACCGCAGCGGCAGCGCTGGCGGACGGACGGACTGGACAGGATCGGGACGGACACGGAGGGGACGAGCGGGGTACCCGAGTCCGGCTTTGCAGTGCAGGGACACTGTCTGCCATCATGGACTCCTCTCGGGTTGCAGGCCCAGGCCCCGCCCCGCCGCGTCGATGACATCCATTTCAGAGCCATCCCTCCCCTCCTATTTTTTTTCTCCCTCTCCGCGTCCCATTTTTTCTGTGGGTTTTTCTACGGGCCGCGTGGGTGCGTGGGGGAGCCGCCGCGCCTCGCCACGCCGCGTGGGGGTGGTGGTGGGGGGTTGGGCCTGGTGGGGGCGGTGGTGGTGGGGGCGGTCCGGTACCGGCTAGGCTGCTCTCGCCTCAATCGGCATCGCCCTAGCATCGCCGCATCGGCAGGGTTCGTGTCGTGACAGAGGCTCAAGCTTATGTAGGGCGCAAAGGCCAGACCCTGCCTGCCCTGCCTGCCCTGCTCGTCGACCGCTCGTGTCAAAAGTTTTTCGCCGCCCTTCAGCGGACTGATTATGAACAGAGTCTGTCTGCCTCGCACCCACGGGGCGTTCCGAAAGGGTGCGAGAGAGACAGCGCCGCGTTCGGATTCGCCTCCGCCACCAGCCCGGCGCCTTGGAGCCCCCCGTCCCGCTGACAGTGTGGTGGCCGTGCTGGCCGTGCCGGCTGCCTCGGCCAAATGAACGCAAGGCCGGCCCGAGCGGTGTCACATTATTTTCTTTTTGCCGGAATGAACTCTTTCCGTGCGGTCCGGGTGCGGTCCCCGCCCGGGGCCACAGCCACCGCGGGGCCCCCGAAATTGTCGCCAGCATTTCACGAACGGAGAGCTTCTCATAGTGGAAGGCGAGGCTGGCGATGCTGGCGAAGGCGCGCCCGATGCTTCCGCCGAGCGGGCATAAATCAAACATCACGACTTCCTCTAAAACGCTTCTTTCTTTTTTCCCTCTCTGTCTCTCGTTGTCTCGTTTCTTTCCCCCTTTCTTATTCCGCCGTTCTTTATGCGCCGACTCGTTTCTTTGCGGCCGAGGAAAAGGAAAGAGGGACCTAGGTGCCGTCATATATTCACCTCATTCTTTTGTGTTTTCCCGTGTAGCACACACGCGCGCGCGCGTCTGCGTGCGTGTGTGTGTGTATGCGCGCCGCGCGGCAGACAACCAGTTTAGACCTTATTCGCAGCGCGCGGGGCGATGTAGGCACTATAGGCAGATAAGCAGGCCGCCGCTGGTCGCGAAAGGCTTTGGTCAAGCCGTGGGAAGGAAGCATATTTGGAGCCTTGCACAGGTTAGTGCCACGCGGTGCCACGGCAGCAAAGTGTCATCGTTAAAATTCCGTGCACACGTCGTTGGCAAACACAAAGCGTGCGCCTAGACGGGCCATTCGTCTTGTCCTTGTCGCGCACGTCACTCGGCCACTGCTTTCCCTTCTTCGCGGAATTTTTATCTCGCCCTTATTTACGTTTTTCCAGGTAAACACCTTTTTTTTCGCGCGCCCCGAGCGGCCCGCCTCCAGCGCTCCTTTTCCTAACGTCATTTCCGCAATAAAATATGAAAATCGTCGCACTGCCTTCGTGCCTCGCCGCGTTGTAGATGCAAATAAGATTTTTTTTTATTTTGCTTTTTATGTGTCTGTTTGCTGGAAATATTTTGCTCCGGCTGTTGCTGCTGGCCTGGCCGGCCGCTCCGCACCCCGTTGACGGGCCTGTGTCCTGGAGTGTCCTGGAGAAGCCGAAGGCCGAGAAAACAGCGGCACGAACCGTTGGCCTCTTCTAGGCTCGGCTCGCGTTAATTTGCGCCAGACGATGCCAATTTTTGCCGACTTGTTTTAATGGGGTTTTAACTGCCCCCGTGATTTGTTCACACCTTCGGCCGGCCGGCCCTACTCCAAATTAACGAGGAAAGGCCCCCTCCCCCTTCCCCTCCCTCGCCTATGGCGCCCTTTGTGACTTCTCCCCCAATATTTTTCGACAACTTGTTGATTTTCGTGTTTGCACTTGGTGTCTGCAAACAGGGTGGGCCGAGGCGAAGCTTCTAAGCGGACGGCAAAAAAGGCCTCTTCGGCGTCCGTCTACACTGCAAACTGAATGGAAAGACATTACGCCAAAATGTGGCGAGACAAAAAGTCTCGCCACATTTTGGCGATACTTTCATGTCTCGCCACAATATGGTCAGATTCAAATGTCTCGCCAATTTATGGCGAGACTTTTTTGTCTCCCCAAAAATTTGGGCCCCAAAAATTATTTAAATAGGGTAGGCAATGCATGGATTCATAGCAAAATACATAAACTACTGCATTATTCACAAAATTCACGAGAAATCATTTCTGATCACCACTGATAGTTGTTTGACCCACTGGGGACTCTCAAGAGTAACGCTGTTTGTTTCGCTCATAAACCAAGAGGTGCGTCTTCACATAACAGGGCCGCTCACATTCAGTTTCATTGAAATCAGATTGTACTCACAATAATCACAGTAGCACTGTGGCTATGAAAAAATTTGCAGGCAGGTTGAGAGTTGATTCATCCAATAAAGATTGTCTACAAACATGTAGCTTTGAGTACTGTACAACTTAGCCCAGAGAACAGATGGTGCAGACTGTTGATGAACTTAACATTTTGACAGTTCTCCTTTTTCACACGCAGTTTGACAATAGCTCGAACGATTAAAAGACATCTTCGCAAACAGATAACCCAGTTTTGGGAACAGTCGTCATTGCTCGAAACTAGGAAAAACTAAATTATATCGTTGCAAGTCAAACAATCGCTCAGAGGCTGGCAGCCATTTTAGAGGCTATGTTTTTGTTTTTGGACAGAAGAGGTTATGGGGAGTTATGGGCGTGACGATTTAGATTCAGATTCGGGTTGGGAAATTATACGCATGACCAAACCAGTATTCGCAGTCACATCCTCACATCTCGTAAACAAAATAACCTGAGGAAATGGCCGCTGGTTATCATGTTTTCCTCCCGACTTTGCATCAATAAAATTAAGTTTTTTCTAGTTTGGAGCGATGACGACTGTTGCCAACTGGGTTATCTGTTCGCGAAGATGTCTTTTTATCGTTCGAGCTATTGTCAAACTGCGTGTGGAAAAGGATAATTGTCAAAATGTTTAGTTCATCAACAGTCTACACCATCTGTGCTCTGGACCAAGTTGTACAGTACTCACAGCTACATGTTTGTACACAATCTTTATTGGATGAATCAACTCTCAACCTGCCTGCAAATTTCTTCATAGCCACAGTGCTACTGTGATTATTGTGAGTACAATCTGATTTCAATGAAACTGAATGTGAGCGGCCCTGTTATGTGAAGACGCACCTCTTGGTTTATGAGCGAAACAAACAGCGTTACTCTTGAGAGTCCCCAGTGGGTCAAACAACTATGAGTGGTGATCAGAAATTTTTTCTTATGAATTTTGTAATAATGCGTAGTTTTCTATTTTGCCATGAATCCATGCATTGCTACCCTATTCAATAATTTTGGGTCATATTTTGGCGAGACAAAAAAGTCTCGCCATAAATTGGCGAGACATTTGATTTGACCATATTGTGGCGAGACATGAAAGTATCGCCAAAATGTGGCGAGACTTTTTGTCTCGAAGCTCCAGAGGCGTAAAGGCCTCTAGGAGTCGTCTAATTTGCTCTTTCAGCTTCGCGCACTGCCGGCCGATGGCTCGGCACCCCTTTCCGCAAAACACCGCACTTTTTTTGTCTCCTTTTTCTGTTACTATTCGCCCCGAGGCAGTCTCGTCTTGATTCCGCGTGTGAGAATGCCCCCGGGCTGGCACAGATATCGCGGACACCTTGTCCGCTCCCCTCGTCCCCCATGCTGGCCGAGCCCGTCGCCTTCCTCTAAAACAATACCCTTCCTCGCCACAATTAACGTCATCTTTTTTTTTCCTTGCTTCCCTTTGCGGCTCGGAACCGCTTCCGTGTGTTCGTCTTCCGACCTGGCCGACCTGGACCGGATAAAACAAAAGCAAGGGCTAGCCGGCGCATCGCGGCCGCCGGCCCCGCCTGATGCTACATTCGTATGCAAATGAGACGAAAGTGCGCGTTGCCCCCGAAGGAAGTCTGCCAGAATTTCAGCGCGCCAGACTCTCGGATCCGTGTGTGTCCTTTTCTTTTTTGTTCGTGTGGAACGTCTCGAGGGAAAGAGGTGGCCGGCGCTCGTTCGTGTCATCGTATCCCCGATGAGGCGAAGCAGGGCGACGCAGGGCGAAGCGTCGTCATTGTTCAGCTTAAAGACAAAGCCCGGCCGTCTTGCAACCCTTCATTATGCTTCTTTTTGCCCGAGCTCGGTGTGTGAGAGGGACCTTCCCTGCATGCGTGTTCCTTGCAGCAGGCCAAACGCGACGCAGATTCGCACCACCACCTCGCTTCCAATCGCCTCGACCTTGACCCCGTGTCGCACCTATTTTTACTTTTCCTTTTTTTCCGCCCGTTTCCCGAGCTGCTCCGATTTTTACTTGGCCTGCCAGTCACGATGAAAGGCTCTCGATTAAACCGGGGAGGCGGGGGCGTGTGGGCGGCGGCAGCGGCGGCAAAAATGTGGGTCGTGCGCCCGTAATCGATGAATAGGACCACCCGTTTTTTACCCTCATTGCTCTCCCGCCAATTCCTAACTCTTTGTCGACCACACCAGTCATGATTATTATTTTTTCTTTGCGTGGGATTGTCAGTCAGGAACCAGCACAAAAAAAAAAGAATACCAGATTGAATGATGGAACGCAAGCTGCTTGTCCGGAGTGGGTTCGATTTTGGCAGTGCCGTGACCGTGGCTTTGGTTTTGCAGGTGAGCGGCCCTACAAGTGCCACCTCCCGGAGTGCGGGCGCGCCTTCATCCAGCTGTCGAACCTGCAGCAGCACCTCCGGAACCACGACGCCCAGGTGGAGCGCGCCAAGAATAGGCCGTTCCACTGCAACATCTGCGGCAAGGGCTTTGCCACGGAAAGTTCGCTAAGAACGCACACCTCCAAGGTAAATATCACACACAGGGGTGGCGAAAAGAGAAAGAAAAAGACATTCTTCTGCAAATGTTTATACTTATTTTAAAAAAAAACAGCACACGTAGCTTTTTTTGTGATGAGATTCGCATGGTAAAGATTGAAGCACACATTGTTTTATGTTGTTTTATCGTTCACTTAGAATCGTTTCGAGTGCAAAGTCGTGCATGTACACCTTTATTTCTTTTTTTTTTCTTTCGAAATGTAAACTTACTTCCATATTTTGGAGTTGAATGGTGCCTCGACATGCTCCAAGCGTTTCAAAACGTGCCTTTAGATTTTTTAATAATTTTGTGCTGCCCTTCTGTTTATGATTTTTTTCTCTAGTTTTCAAGTTGTTGTTTGTACATTGTACAAATTGATTCCCATGCAACCTCTTTTTTGTTTTCTTTGTAGTGCGTTTGTACACAGAAGCGCTTAGAGGATCCGCTTGGAACGGCAGCACCGACTAGAGTACGCTATGACATTTTTGTATATATTTTTACTCGCACGCCAAAAACTCTGCATGCCTGCTTGGTGTCTCCTCCGGGGCGCATGCCGCCTACTCGGCCTACACTGCTACACGGGGCAATCGGGAACTGAATCCTCTCATCAAGCTCGGGATGTCCGCGTCAATCGTCCAGGTGGCGCAGTGGGCCAGAAGACCGGTGGAGGCGGCCGAAAGTCTAGACGCGTTTTAAGCTCCAGAGCCGCTAAATGGGACTCGAACCGAACGTCTGACCCCACCAATGGATTCCTCGTTCGGAGAGCAATCCATTGGTGGGGTCACACGTAAAGTTCGAGTCCCATTTAGCGTCTTTGGAGCTCAAAACGCGTCCCGGATATTGACTGCCTCCACCGATCTTGTGGCGGCCAACTGTGTGGCCCACTGTGTGGCGTCCTGGCGGCCAGGCGGTGCACCACTCGATGATTGCGAGGTGATTCGAGGTGTCTCGCCCTTCCGTCGGCCTGTCTGCCTCCTGCTGACGAGTTCATTCATTCGACGCGCCCGGCCAGCAGCCAGCCCAGGCAACCCATTCAAGGCCGTAAACCGTTTCGTTTGACCCAGAATCGGGAAGAGGAGACGAGACCGCTGGACGGGTTGCGTCGTGGTGAGCCCCTCTCGGTCCCTCTCGGTCCCTCTCGCACGCCACATGTCGGGGCCGGCCGGGCTTACACCTGTAGGTGTTACCGTCACACTCAACACCTGTCGCCCCCTCCCCCCTCCCCCCTCGCCGCAGCCGGGCCCACGCGCCGCGTACCCCTTCCCCGCTCACCCGCGCGCGGTCGCTCGCTCTCTCTCTCTCTTTTACTCGCGAGCGACCCACGCACTGGCGTCTCTCTCCCCCCAAATGAAGACAATCAGACCAAGAAATGAATCCGACGGAATGAATCCAGTGGCCACAGGGGGGAGGGCAATCCGGTGCTGGCCGGACAACACACCCGGCTTGTGCCACACACACACACACACACACGCACGCTCACGTTCCGGATGAAATATGCGTGCGAGCCGACTCGCTATGTAACCGGTCGTCTAAATGCATCGTGCTGCTTTACTGGCAGGCGTCCTTGACTTGTGTTTGCAGACAGGTAAATTACCCTGGAAAGAAAAAGTGCGTTGATTCGGGCGGGGGCGGGCGCGGCAGTCGTGGTTTAGTTCGCCGAAAGTTTCTCACCCATTTTATTTTCACCCTCTTTTCGTGGCCGCCGCGGCTGGTGCCGGTGTGCCCCCCGGGCCGGGGAGGGCTAATCAATTAGTGGCATCATTTTTTGGGCGTGTCGGCCGCGAAATCGGTAACGGGGGGTCCCTGGGTCGCTGGCATGTAATGGCCGGAAAAGTGGGCATTTCGTGTCGACAGGTGTTCTGCCCCTTTTGTCTCTCCGTCTCTCTCGCAATATAAACTCAATGTCCGCCGTATCTTTGATCTGTAAATACTCCGGGCGACCAAATGATGGGTTGGCTCTCGGTTTGTTCGCTCCTTGTAATTTATTCTTTGTGTGTACACCCCTTGGACGCCGGGCGGGCCGGGCGGGCCGGGCGGGCCGGGCTAGAGATGCTACACGGTGGACGCGCGCTCGTCCGTGCGTGGCCCTGGCGTGGCCCTGGCTGGCCGGGCGTGGCCGCCGATCGGTTTGCTCTCTTCCGCCAGTTTTCCAGGACAGTTGACGCGACGCGGCGGCAGGGCGCGGCCGATTAGAGGCAGCAAGAGTCGCTCTGTCTCTCTCGCACCTCACGGGACGCCCCATGAGTGCGAGAGAGACAGAGCGACGGAAACTGCTTTCAGTGTGCTGGCTGTGGCGCCCTGGCGTCCTGGAACCGCGCTGGGCGTTCCGGCTGAGAGGGAAGGGGAGGGCTGAAGCAGGCTGAAGCAGCTGAAGGCGAACAGGCCGGCCGCGCCAAGGGCTCATCCTCGCTGATCCCCGCAGCCGAGGCCCTTTTTTGAGGTCCTTAAAGGGCCTGACGCTCGCCGCCAGCCTCCCTTGGCTCATCCATTACCAAAAAATAGATTGGTTCGCAGATAAGTGAAACGAAGGGCCAGAGGGACCAAGGACTCCAGGACACACCTCATGGCGCTCCCGGCAAAAGACTGAGCAGGCACCCCAGGGCCCGGCCGGGGTCCCCGCGCCCTTCGCCAAGGGCGTGTGTGGGTCAGCCACCCCGCGCGGGGCCGCCCTCCCCCGCTCGCTGGAGCGGCAAAACCTTAATTTTCCGTTTTTCTTGGAGATGATTCCCCGTTTCCGCCTTCGGACAGCGCCGGCCAGCGCGGCCCCGCGGGGGGAGGGGCGCCCTTTAGCCTTTAGCCGCCTCATTGGATTGGAGGGCCAAATCGGACGGATGAAATTACTTTTATTCGCATTTTTGGATTAGGAATCCGCATGTATTTCTCCCTAAGGCGTGTGATTTTTATGCCTTTTTTCTTGTTTTTGCTTTTTTTTTGCGCGCGAAGAGATAAGGAAAAGGGTCGAGCGCGGAGGGCGGCGCCGGAGGGCAGGGCGGCGCTACCTTTCCGATTGCCAGAAGATGCCCAGGGGCCGAAGGGTCGAAGGGTCGCCGAGGTCCGGCGGCGTAAGGGTCGGCCAGCGGGGGGGCAACTTTGTTGTCGCCAGGGCTGCCATCACTCCAAATGTAATATCCCCGCACGAGCCCGCGTGCATCTCACAGACGGCCAAACAAAGTTACGTTACTTTTTAACGAGATTTTTCACTTATGCGTACCGTTTTCGGCGTTTGCGCGCGGGCTCCCAAAAAGCGCGTAAAAGTGTAAAGTTGGTCGGCCTGGAGGAATACCCGGCTTGCCCACCCTGCCGCTCATAACGGGCAACCAATATGACAGGGATAAACTAACAGAAAAATGGATCGGTCCCTTCCGACGAGATCCCGTGGGATGGGCCCTGGGAGGGAGGGAGGGTGTCTCTTCACACTAGACACCCTCCCCCCTCCACTCCCTTCCTGACCAGCCTGATAATTCTTTGCGATAAATCACGCCTCTCACCCGTGCACCCTTTCCCTCCCCGTGGCCATTTATTATTTCGGTGGTTTTAGTCCTCGCCGCGCGTTTCGCTGCGTGCTGTGGTTCGCGCCCCGCCGCCGCCTTCACTTTTTTTCCTATCATTGCGTAATCAGGCGCCTCTTTATTTGGGGCAGGCGGTGCCGGGGCTCGAACCCGGGCCCGCCAGAATGGCAGAGCGGAGCGCGAAGCGAAGGAGTTCGTTTCCGGTCATCTTTCGGCCGGCGAAATGTAGCGCCCCGGGGACGCGACGGCGTGTCGTCTGCTGTCGCTCGCTTCGAGACATTTCTGTTTTCGCCCGTAGAAAGGCACGAGTGTCCAACTGGTCATTTCCGGAGGCGGGGCGGGGCGGGGCGGAGCCTCGACACTGGGTCAAGCCGTCGAGCGGGAGGAAGGGGCCCCCGTGTTGTTGCTCTCTCTCTTTCTCCATCTCTCTCCCTCCACTCTCGCCTCTTTAATCAAAATTCCTCTATTCGAAAGATGATGAAGCGGATTGGTTTTTCCGTGTTGTCGTTTAGATTTTAACGTACAGTCGTGAGCTTTGGGACGGCGGTGCGTTTCTGTCCCATTTGACGGTGTGGGAACCTTGCCTCGTGTGCGGCGCCAACTACGCCACTGGCGCCTGCCGCATTCCGCCTTCCCCTTCCGTTTCTCCTTTCCCTTTTTTATTTTTTTTCTAATGATTGTCTTGCATGCGCACTTTCTCCGCGTCGCGTCCTTCTGCTCTCTCTCTCTCTCTCTCTCTCTCTCTCTCTCCTCTCTCTCTCTCTCTCTCCCCCTTTCTCTCTCTCTTTCTCTCTCTCTCTTTCCGCTCCGAGAGTCCTCTCCCTTTTTTTCTCATCTTCTTTTATTTTCTAATTTATTTTCGGCCGCATATGAAGATGATGATGACTCACCCCAAGAATATAAAAGGGTTGAAGGGGTTGGGTGCGCCGCGCTGGCCGCGCTGGCCGGGCTGGCGGGGCCGCCCTGCCAGACTGTACCGGACCCACTTGAGCCACCCTCCCTCCGGCCTCCGCGCACCCCTGCCCGTCCTTGAATAGCACCCCGCGACAAACCTCGGCCGGTGCGCTCAGCTTGCTCAGCTTGCGAGGGACGGACTATGGCCAACTTTTAAATTGGTCGGAAAAAGGACGCGCGGGGCTGTGTGTGTGTGTGTGCGTGCGTGCGTGCGTGTGTTTGTCGCCAAACAACATTGCCGGCTGCGCGAACAGCTTGTGCATAATGAAAAGAAAGTTGACGAGTAACTGGGCGACGCGACGCGCCCCTTTGGGCGCGTTAACTTTTGCAGCGTATGTGGCGCTTTCAAATAAGACACACCATGTCACTTTTTATTTCCTCTCTAATTTTTTTTTGCGACGCGCAGGGAGCACAAATTTCCGTCCAGATATTAACTAAGTTCGCACCGCATTTGAGTGAGGGTTTCCTTTTGTGTCAGACATCCAGACATGACACTTTTTTTGCCTGTCTTTTTTTTCTGTCCTATT